AAACATCTATATGGATATCAAATCATTAACAGTAATTACTTAATATAAACAAGTTTTGCTTCTCAAAAACGCACAACTTTTTTGAATATTTCAAAACTACATGAAATCACCACCATGTTTTTTAAATGACAGATATTTAAATTGTTAATTCAAAGCAATTCATTACTTAAAATTACTTCCCACCTAAAAAATCTTTGGTTGTAAGTATTTGCTGATAAGCAATAAGATATGTCATTCATTCATGACCTCTAATTGACCTTGTAGAAATCTTGTAAATAAGAAAAAGCGAGTAAGTCACGTCGGATTGCAATGGAGTCGTTAAAGCGTCCAATTAAGGTCCGCGGACACGTAGAGAAAAAGGCAACAAGCGCAGATAACGAGAGAGCCATTGGGACGAGGCCGAACGAATGGAAACGAATGAATGGGAAATGAATTCAACACAATGGAACGAATAGAATACTATTGGGACTACGATATGTACATTTTAAATTTTAAACGTAAAATAATACTAAAACTAAAATAAAACAACAACAGCATACCATACACCCATTTAATAAAATTATTTTTAACATTAAATAGCCGTTACTTAAAATATATTTTAACAAATTTAAACACGGACAAAACAGCAGCAAAAACATAAAAGCACATTTCATAAGACGGTAATGGCTAAAAATCACAAAAACGATCAAAAAAACCTCAGTCGCTTGACCAAGGTCAAACTTCCTGTTAGAGTTGACTTCGAAACATGTTTAAACAAAACGAATATGAGAACGGACACCATAAATTCCTAGAATACCTCAATGGCTAGGTAGTACCGAGAAATGCATACGGCTTAGGTGTCAGGTATAAATAAGTACCTAAATTGATTAGAATATTTGCTATTTCTTAATAATCATTCGATCAAAGTACTCGTGTCAGATGATTCATTGTATTTATAGAAATGTGAAACGAACTTTATAGTCTATGGTCAATATTCAGTCTATGACCATATTTTATAATCTTTGGTCAATGTACAATCTGTGGTCATGTTTTATAATCTATGACCAAAATATTTATTCAACTGGTTGTTAATCAGATATCAATTATGAAATATCTAAAAGGGTTAGAAATTGTGTTCTTCCATTTTTAGTCATGTAACAAAATACATAATGGAAATACATTAATATTAAAAAATTAAAAACAATTGAACGTTTACGATAGCATTCTCGAAAATTCGAAACTGATTGAATTGAATGAGATCGAAAACGACCCTTCACTCGCAATCAGTGAAAACATTTCTCCAGAATTATTTTGACGTCTATTTGAAAGAACAAGAACAATAAAAGCATTAATTCCTTAATCCCACAGCTGTAAGCTTAACGGGTTCTGCGAGAAATCTCGTTCGTTAAAACAGCTATTAAATGTCCATTTTAAATCCACGACCGCGACATTGAAAATCCCGCCTTTAAAAAAAAGATGGCGGCAAAATGACAGTTACGTTTGTGGAAAAGCATTTTTTCTTAACTCTTCATTTTTTTAATAACTGTTTAATAATTCGAATATTTTAAATATAATAAATTTGCTCTTTAATTTTCTACTATCACAGATTAAAAAATACACAATGATATTTTGCAATTAATACTTAGCCGTCTTTCTTAACCGCGTATTATTTGCGGTGAAGTGAACTAGTAGGGTGACAATAAAAAAAAACTGAGAATATTCATTTATAATAATCAGAAGATTGTCTGTGTTATTTATTTGCTAGAAAAGGACAGGTATAGGGAATTGAAGGAGAGACTGTAATGGATATATTTCAACATGTACACCTTCTTGTAAACATGAAGTAGTCGGCAAACAATAAAAAGTAATGTTTTATTAAAATATTCTTATAAACACTTATACAGAATAATAAAAAAAAACATACAGACGAATTGAGTACCTCCTTCTTTTGGGAAGTCGGTCAAAAATAGTATATAAAAGGTTTTATTTACTTTTTTCGTAATTCATACACTACATACTTCAATTTACACGAGTTCATTTTTTATTGCAATCTCTCAATTTAAGTACGCGTCTCGTGAACAAACGACCTCACTTAACCTGCATTAAGCACAATCTAAGTTATCGTCTCGCGGGATGACTGTTCTCTTAATTAACTAAATCAATACTTTATCATGCTTCTTGAAAACAGAAAATAAAACCTCGTAAAGTTTGCAAAGGACGTCTTGTTATTTTCTTTATAATAATAGATTTTAAAAACCTAACTATATTTATCATAACTTTTTTGACCGACTTCTCAAAAGAAGGAGGTACTCAATTCGTCTGTATGTTTTTTTATGTGTTACGGCATAACTCCACCGCTAGTGGACCGATTTTGATAATTCTTTTTTTATCCGAATGGTAATGCTTGCAGGTGGGTCCCATTTTTTTGTTAGATTTCTGAAGTCAAAGACTACGACATATTTATTTAAGCATATGTCTACCCTTAACTGTGCTATTGGCGTTTAATACACTAAAGTTCGTATAAATGATGTAATTAAAGCTGTTATTAATCGAGACCTGACCTTTATATACAATCGTATGTTACAACACAATAACCAATAATTGGTACTATCATTTATTCAATAAATAAGGCATTGTTGACTACAAACGGTCAGGTTTCTGTAACAATATCTTTATTGTTTACGCCTTGGCGCTCGATATACAAGATATTGTGGATTTATTTTACATGTATCTTATTGCTGATTTATGAAAACACGATCTACTGGATATTAAAATCATTGTTTTTAAAAATACGGACAATTCTGTCACAGTCTTTTAAAGTCGTGTAACACACTGAACCTAAAGCAAGCCAGTGTCAAAGAGTAACGTTAGGCATATAACATAATTGGAGTGTCGCTGTCGCTTGTTGAAGATTCGCTTATAACGAACATTTAAATATTTTTTTCTGTTTGTATGCAAGCCGCGTTAGTTCCGGTTAATCTCCGAATTGACTGGGTCTATTTCGACCGGACTTTCACTCAAGGGTAGCTGACATAGACGGGAATATTATAGGCAAATTTTTTATCTTAATATTGCGAGGTCGCGGGCAGCAGTTAGTTAAACATAATGTCCGATTCTGAATAAACTGTGTTTTGATTTTTTTTATAATATAAGGTGGCAAATGAGCAAGCGGCCACCTGAATCCACCGAAATGGAAAGCGACCGCTGCCCATAAACATCCACAATTGTAGATGCGTTGCCTACCCTTAATTGCCCAAGGATGAGATGCACATAAAGAGGACATTTCCCCTTCCTATGCGTCTCCTCTACCGTCAAATCCACTTTTCCTTCCCATACTTTCTTCTTAAGAAAAGTGTGGTAAGGGAAAGGGACTAAAATTAGACCTCCAGCACCACACTCATCCGACGAAACGCGGAATTGCTACCACTTCACGCCTGTATTCTGTGTGATCGTTTTATTACACCGGGCGCGCCTGCCCATTCGAAAATCTACAGCAGGAGTTTTAGTGCTTGCTTTGGTTCTTTTGTGGTAGTATACTAAAGGCCTAATACTTTTCAATATCAGAATAATAATGACAAAAGTTTTTTTTTATGTATGTACGTGTGAAGGTGACCAATTTGAATGTTACAAATTGTTTTTTTTATTAATACTTAATTTGTTTTATTACATAATTTCAACACGTTGAGTGATTCGTTCCGAAACACGATTGCGGTGTACGAAATCGTAAAATCCAATGTAATTTGTGTCTACATTGTGACATAGTATTGTTTAATGGTTTTTTACTTATATTGCGTTGTAAAAAATCTAGGTAAATGGAGGAATAAATAACTGACGATAAATTTATTATTACGTAAAGGTTCACAGAATATTATACTAATATTATAAATGTGAAAGTTTGGATTTTTCTTTAATTCCACGCGGACGAAGTCGCGAGCGAAAACTAGTATTTTAATAAAACATAATGTTCGCAAAAAACAAAGATATTTCATCTTCAGTATTTACACACGAATACACAATTTCTTACTGAATAGAAATTTTTTGTCAACCCTAGTTTAACATTGTGACAGCTTCTACATTATTACGTAAGATTTTCCAGCAATAGCAATGACAATACTAGTCTTTGACACTGGCTGGTAATAAACCAGAAAAAAAGTATAAAAAACCAAATACAATTCGAACAGCCATTGATATCGAATCGTAAACCATAGACGATTAAATTTCCACTTTATGCGCGGTTTACACTTGGCCAGTTGGACAGTCGCAGAGCTACGCATACTTGTTTTGTTACTGACGCCAGTTAGTGTTTAGAGTATGCCAGTCCAGTACTACAGACTAACTGTTGGCCAAGCGTGAACCGAGCGTACTATCGCTAAATTGAAAAGCATTCAAATCCGGGCATGGAAATAAGTCGTGATCAAGTCGACGTCCGTGAACATAAAGGCCAGCCGTGAGTCTAGTCTTTCACTATAATTGATCTTTGTATCGCCTTTCCAACATTACAAGGATTGCTATAAAATTATAGAGTGGCGGAATCAACGGTAAATTGATAAATACAGACTAAAACAGCGTATGACGTCAGAAAATTGTACAGCATTTACGTAAAATTGAAGATAAAAAAACAAAAGTATTGTATATCTTAACAATTGATTACAAACTACAATTCAATGAGTTTTTTTAATCTAAGTAACATTTAAGAGAAAAGATCGTTACTTTAATTTATTTACGTTTGTTCATAATAAACTCATAATCTACTAAAGATTTCAAAAATTCTCGCATATTAAGGAACCTACACCTTCACTGAATAACACAGGCTATAATAAATATAAATATAATTTAAACGTGACAATCCGTAAATAATATACCATTTAAACATTGTCTTATCAGTAAAAAAAAGATTAAATAAATAAAGATAACAATAATTAATTGATAGGTAATTTATGATAAACTACAAATTACGCTGTACGATATACCAGGACCGTAAAATTTTGTACAAAACAATAAAAAAATGTTGTAAAGACTACCTCACACGTGTCCACTATTTACACAAATGCTCGTTTACACAATTGTCAATATCCTTGCACAGTATTGAAATGATGCGGGTGTATTTGCCATACCGAGTATTACCATTTCCAACACGTACAAAGACTTTCTGAACGAAATCGCGATAATAATGCAATCAAAAACATCTAAACACGCCAGTTGATAAGAAAAATACAAACCGTTAAAATCCGTTCACTTGTACACTACCTGAGTTACAAACATTCCAAAAATTCACTTAAAAAAAACAATAACCATCTTTTACACTATAAAAATCAACAGTTGTGGACACGAAACACTTACACAGCGTCAAACACAGCACTCGCGAAAATAAAGTATAACAATGTTTTTTTTTCACGAAAGTTATCACGCGACTTCGGTAAACGCACAACACGACCACCTTGCACGAGAGTCTGTCTAAAACTGACGCGCTTGCGAGAGCGAGAAAAATATCTAAAACGAGGTAATACGGAATGCTATAAGTGTGAAAGAGAGGTGTGAAATTGAAGAATGGAGTTAGCGGAATCGCACCGCCGTGACCGAGAATGACCACATGGCCACGCATTTTGTTTAGTGCGACGATTGCACAAATTGAGAGTTGGCGCGTTTTTGTTAACATACACGTGTTTTAAATTTGTTTTTAAAATAACTTCAAAGCTTAGAGGAGTGGTTTCTTTGTTTATTCCGACACTCAGTGCTTTAATGACCGTTAAGTAAATGTTGGAAATAATAAAACAGTGGAGTAGGTAGCTATTCTGTATAGAAAAAGTTTTGAATTGAATTTCTTTTATTGTACATGTATTATTTATTTCACCGTTTTAAAACATTATCTGCTTACGCTTATAATTGCTTTTATAACAGATTCTGAAACCAAAAATCTAAGAATTCCTTTGCTGTGTATATTATTATTTTTTAGTAATTATTAGTTTTATCGAAATATATACGTACCTAATGTTGTTTGGTTTAAGAAATGCATCCTTTATTGTTATTAAATAGTAATACAGCTTTATTAAGCAATCAGTGTTGACCGCTATAACCTATTACCAGTTCGGCTTAATAAGTGAAATGAGGTCAAAACCGAGAAATGCATAAATTTGGTGTTTTGTCGCTCTTTTTGTTGGCACATTACTTACCTCTTTTATTAAAAAAATGTAAATTAAATCGACTTCTCCGTGGCACAGTTACGTTTTGAAGATACTGGCATTAAGTAACTACAGACTGACATTTTCGTATATATGCTTGATTAAAAAAAAAAAACTACTTAATTATGTATTATTGAATTTAATATAAAATAAGGTACCGTTATTTCTGTATTATTATTGGATTGTTGTTGAAATAACTGAAAAACTACTTAGCCGATTTCGAAAATTCTTTTAACGTTATAAAGCTACGCTACCACTGAATAACATAGGCTATATTCAATTCCAGAAGGACGAAGTGGCGTACAGCCGCTACTGCTATAATAAAATAAATCATTTATTACATAGATTCTAATGAAAATAAGATGAAAAGTGATATACATCTATATTAGTATATATGTAAACTATGAGAATTCGTCTGTGTACTTTGTATATAAAAACGCTGACGTAATGATTGACAAATTGTGGACGCGTGACTAGAGCAAATCCTTCCAACACGCAGGAAGTAAAAACGAGAAAAATGAAAAGATTTACGCAGTCGCTGAGACGAATGTTAATATTTACTACGAGAGATGTTTGATAAATCCAATTAAAAAACAGTAAAACCTCTTTGGGAGGCACAATCTTTCGAAATTCATTTTAGAAACATCTCATTAGAAATGTTTAAAAAAGAAATATGCACTTCGTTACATAGGTTTATTGGCTAGTTTATTTATGGCTAACTAGCTTTCGCCCGCAATTCCGTCCGCGTGGAACTAATAAAAAATAAAAGTGAGTAGCCTATGTGTTCTTCCAGACTATCCTCTACATCTATACCAAATTTCATCGAAATCCGTTCAGTCGTTTAGGCTACAAACTCTAACAAACATCCATCCATCTAAACTTTCGCATTTATAATATTAGTTTAAGATTTACAAAGCACAAAACTACACGATAACTTCAAAATACACGTTAAAGGTAAGAAACCCCGGGTAATGTAACATTCTACTCGAGGCGTCTGAAAAAATGGACAAGAAATATTTAAAAAAAGGGCGGAAAGGGCTTGCGGAAACGCGGGAAAAACTTTCTCCGTGAGTTTTTATTTCGCGGCCGCTTTGCTCTCGAGTGTGGCTCGAGGATGCCCTTTATCTACCGGTTATGGTTGCTCTGACCTGACGCTAGGGTGCGCTCTGTAGCAATATTGTAAGGAAAATCCATAGTTAGAGAAATTTTGTAAAAGTCTCCCCAATTTAAATTAGACCTACGCAACAGGTTTTAAACCTCCGTTCCATTTCACTTTAAATTATTTACCTTTATGCTATAGGAAATCCAAGATTATTTAATAATAGTTATAGCTCGCGACTTCGTTTGAGTAAAATTAAAAAAAATAGCTTAAGTAACTCACTATTAACGTAGCTTTTTAATGGTGAAAGAATTTTTGAAATCGGTCCAATAGTTTTTGAGTTATATCAATATTTTCTTTTTATAATGTTAGTACAGACTATACTACCAACCTATCGATACATGAACACTCATTATATACCTAAAACTCTATTTGTTTCCATTCTCTTCTTCTAATAATATTACGCTACCTTTTTACCTTTTAATTACAACGAACTGATGACGTCATAGCAATGACATCTTTGTTAAGAACCCAGTTAACAGTATACGGTCTACTTTACCTGGAAAACATCAGGACTTGTATCTCCTATCTCTTTCTAACACACAGTTTCACTTAACAATACGCATTCGCTTTACAAGGAAGGTTTTTGTCTCCGTTAAAAATGCTACCAATTAACCGAGATTCCCGCACTTTCCAGGGATAATGGTTAACCTACATGCGAGTACAATTTTTCGTCTGGAAATCCGGATTGAAAGCGTAAAGCACTTAAATGTCAGCTGAGTTTTGTTGCGCGTGAATTTAAAAATGCAAGCAATTTTTTACTTTGCTTGTTAGAAACTATGTAAATAATTATGCAAATATTATAAGCACAGGAATTGTATAATAACACGCCAATATGAAAAAAATTTAATAAAATTTTCAATTCATTGCTATTAAAGATTCCAAACATCTCGATAAATCTTCCTTCTATACTAATATTATAAGGAAGAAAGATTTGTAAATTTGTATGTACTGAAAAAACTCAAACACTACTGGGCCTTTTTCAATTCATTGACCATTAAAAAGCTACGTTATTACTGAGTACATAGGCTATGTTTTTTAATAATGATTAAATTTCACACGGACGAAGTCATGAGCAACAGATAGTATTTAATACTACGGGATAGGCCCAAGCTTCGCCTGGGTGGCAGAGTACGTCTCATATATTCTCTGTAATATCCATACCCTTCCTGCTGATGTAAAATATAGCCTATGTTACTCAGTAGTAATGTACCTTTTTAGTGGCGAAAGAATTTTTGAAATCTGTTCAGTAGATACAAAGCCCGTTCAATACAAACGAATCTTTTCTCTTTGTTACATTAATTTAGATTTTAAAAGCATTACCTTTGTTAATATGACAATCTTTATCAAACATTGTGATTCTGCCAATTTTTGTAAAACTCAAATATTAAAAAAGAAATTACGTTCATTACATCGGTATACGCTCTTCCTTTTAGCAGCTTTTATGTAGGGTCCTTAATAGGCAACATCACTAATTCTCTTAAACAACGTTGTGTTCAGCTCAAAAGAACAATGTCCAACTAGCGTCAAAGGCGCCTTGCTATAACAAAGACCTGCCCTCTTGAGTTTTCTGAATTCAGTTTTCGTGATGGACGAAGCGATAAGCGGCAGCGATTTGTTGACGTCCTCACTTCTGTGCACTACAATTCTTATATAATAGTGACTAGGATCGGTATCATGTTATGAATATTTATTGTAGTTATACGTTTAGATTGAGACAGTGTTTTCACTATCATATACTCCATAAACTGACATAGATAGTAACTTATGACATACATTTCAACATCAAAAGTGAAGTATAATGACTTTTACGTCTAAAAGAATAGTTTTATATTTAAACACAATCGTTTCTATTAATACTTTTAGATCGTAATCGCTACCTCCTATAAAGATAGACACATCCTAGCACACATAGTGGTGAGCTTTTTGCTTCGGCTTTTGAGCGTTACTTGACTCTGAGAGGCAGGTTTTAGCGTTCGTTCACAGAGTGCGCTACAAATGCATTAGGTGGCGTAAATAGCGTCATTGTTTTACACACCAGGTGTGATGGAGGCCTAATGTGTTTTACTGATGCAACAAATGTAAAAAGTTTGACTACTCTTTGATAGGTGACTACTTAATCTTTGATGGCAAAGAGTAATCATTTTGTACAAAACGGTTATGGTAGAAAAAAAAATAACGAAACATCATGATTGAAGAACTTATGTTTTATTCTTAACTTAAGTGCGCTACAACATTCGTAGAACAGAAAATAAACAGCGGTGGCAAGGAAAAAAAGGAAAAGTTGTGCAATAAACGGCACTTTGTTCATAAATTACTTGCGACCCGAAGCGGACGCAAGTTGCCCGAAGGAAGCCATTCCGAAACAAACCAACTGAGGGTATCGAAGCTTTTTCTAAAAAGAAAAATCACTCGATTGCGTACATTTTTACTCAACGAATGTGGTATAAACGCTAAAGACATCCTAAAACGTAAAAAGCATTTTTATCAATTTTTACAGACATATCGATTAGCAAACAAGACACATCTTGTGAAAATTGTTTTCTTACTTTTTATTATATTTATCTTTGATTTGCACTATCTGTTACTTCGATATCTTAATTCGACAATTAACAAACAAATTAACAGTTCATAAATTGCCGTAATTACCTAATTAGAGTGCATACGGTAAAAGTGACGCCTGCAGCGAACAGTAGCTTGCGTCAAGTGCGTACAGCGATGCAGCGCTCGAGGGCATTGCTGGCAGCGCTAGAACGGACATTGGCGTTTAGTCATAGAGTTAAGATATTCAGAACAGACAATTGTAATTTATAAATAGAATATAGACTTCATGTATATCTTGAAATGCAGCTCTGGATTT